CGGGGGATCTCCTTAAATGCCTCCTGATCAGCCACTGGTTCAGTAGTGACAGCCATAGTGTAGGTCTAGGCTAGAGACCATAGTTGACAGGATCCCTGTCAGGATTCTGTGAGTCTTAGATTGAGTCAGTAGGTCTGTCAGTCAGGGGTTGACGTCTACGTAGTGAGGTTTGGAACCACTAACCCGGTTGTACACTTATCACCATGGTTGAGACCCGTAGTGGGAAGGAGACTAGTCCCTACACCACGGAGCAACGAGAAAAGATGGCCGCCTTAGTCAGAGAGAGTAAGGAGAGGAAAGAGCGTGAAAAGCAAGCCAAGCTAAAGGCTATCGCAGATGAATAAGCGGCGAAGATGAAGAGATTGGAGGAGGAGATGAAGAAAGTACAACAAGAGGAGGAAGAAAGAAGAAAAGTTGCTGAAGCAAAAGCGGCAGCAGAAGAAGAGAAAGAGAGGATGAGGATTGAGAGTGGAGAAGGGAGTAGTGGCACGATGACAAGGGAAACAGATACAGGGCTAGAGAAGAAGATCAGCGAGTGGGTCGCTAATTTATCGTTGGGGGAAGACGAGGAGGCGGAGTCCTATGTAACTAAGGATGAGAAGGCTGCGCTGGYCGCCGAGCTAGCAGCCATGACAGACCCGATGGAACGAAGAGAGAGGGAGGAGGAACAAAAGTTAGCATGGAAGCTGAGGATGAAGAGAGAGAAGAAGAAGAGGAGAGAGGAAGTGAACAAGATGACCGCAGAGGTGGCAAAGGTGCAGGAGTGTAGAGCAGAGGTGCTGGCCCAACCAGACGATAAGGCCAAGTGGGACAAAGTACTGGGGTATCTGGAGGTGTTAAGCAAGGCCTGGATGGAGGAGCGCCACGCAAGCTAGAGCCAGGATGTAGCGTTGAGTGCCATGCGGTCAGGGTTTAGAGATTTCACGCGCGAGTTCGCTACCCATATTGGGGGCGAAGTGAAGCAATTGAGAGATAATGTAGGGAAGTTTTGTGAGGGCGCCATTCAGGGTGCCAAAGCAGTAGCCGTTGTAGAGGGAGAGGCCAGACCCCGTAAGGATCTAGTGAAACTCAAGTTCCCAGATGCGTACAGGGGGAAGAAGGAAGAACTTTGACAACTGGGAAGCCAGTGTCAATAGTTATATTTATTTGCAGCATATCTTGGTCGAGAAACAAGTCCTTGTGGCCTTCCAGGCCCTCAAAGATGAAGCGGCTAGTTTTGCCAGGTCTCTTGCGCGTACAGCCGGTTGTGAAAACAACCTGGTTGCGTATTCCAAAGTTACTCCTCTTTCTCAATTCCTCAAGCTCCTCAAGGAGCGGTTCGCTGACCCAACGTGAGGCATTAGAGCCTCTGATAAGCTCCAAACAATCCACTCGCGGCAGTGGAGGAGTGCTAAGGCACTCAAGAGTACTATGGACGACTTGGTAGCCGTCCCTGACCACGGGGTCACCGAGCCCCAGTTGGTCAAGTTGTTTTATCATGTCATCCCAGAGGCCCTTCGCGGGCATTTCTTTGACAAGTCTCAGCAGGCCGACATCACATATGATCAATTGAGTAGGGAGGTCGTCCTGTATGAGTCAAAGTCTATGCCAGTTACCACTTTCTGGCATAAGGACCTGGAGAAGGGGAAGAAGTGGAAGAATCGTACTATCTCAGGCCAAGTAAAGGCCAAGGATCACATGATCCTGTCTATGCCAGTTACCACTTTCTGGCATAAGGACCTGGAGAAGGGGAAGAAGTGGAAGAATCGTACTATCTCAGGCCAAGGCCAAGGATCACATGATACTGACGTTAGAGGAAGGTGGTACTGATGAGGTCCCGTATGATCAGATTGAGTGGGGCCTCGAAGATGATGGCAGTAGTGTGGGGCAGGGGAGGTCTTACGCTGCTGTCGCGGCCGGAGGGAGGCCGCAAGGTAGAGGAGGAGGCCAGGGCCAAAGGGGCCAGGCCATGGGAGGCCGAGGACCGGGCGCACAGGGGGTTGGCGGACAGGGAAACCGCCAAGCGGGAGGTAGGGGTCAAGGTC